CGCCGCCGCCGCCGCCCAGAGCCGCCCCGAGGGCACGGCCGCCGCCCGGTGCACCGCACGCGGTCGCGGGGCCCAGCGGGGAAGGGCGGCAGAGCCCCACGGCTAGGCTGTTCCAGCCTCTTGGACCCGCTGCACTTGCGCGACCAACCCTGCCAGCGCGCCCCGGGTGGCAGTGGCCTCGCCACGCGGCAGAGTCGCCAGCTGGCCGCCTCCTCCGAGGTGCCCTCTGGCTCCATTCCGGGAAGCGTGAAGATCCATCCCGGGTTTTCCGCGCGGTGGCCACTCAAGGGCGTCAGCTCCGGACTCCACACGGCGAAGGGCCGGAAGGCCGGGTTGGTGGGTGTCAAAACCAGGAGTGGAGTTTTCTGTCTGAGCTGGGCCTGGGTCTGCCAGTCTGGTCTTTTCCAGAGCTGGAGCGCTGCAGGAGCGGATAGGACTAGCACCTCTGTCTTCCGTGGGTCGCTAGGTCTTGTGACACTTCTCACTTATTCCAGCCTCACGAGGAAAGACAGCACGCCTTTCAGTCTCTGTCATCTCTCTCCTGACCCTGCTGTTCTGGTCTTCTCCTTTTCCTTGACCCAGCAGGGCACTGTTAGGAATGAAACCCCCCTTCTACCAATCCTGGGGATCTCTTGGAATTCCTGTCCCTGTTCAACACAGTCCAAATCAGATGAACTCTTATTTTTCTCTGCAGAATCGGAACTATTTGATTTTGGGGCTGGGAGGAGACATATCTCAAGGACTTTGAAGGCCTGGAACCCAACCATTTGGATCAGATATGAGGCCTCTTCACATACATCTACAAACCAACCCAACACCACCATCAACACCACCAGACAATGCACACAAGCACACAAACAGGTTTAGCACACAGTTACAGACCCTTCCCACAGTACGGGACTTGCCCTACTCTGCACTGAAGGGGGTGGGTAAGACAGCAAAATCCTTGGATCACAAATGTCTGCACATCCTCCTTCAACCCTCATGCAGTTCAGAAGTGAGCCAGGCTTTTCAGCATCAAAGGTTTTTGCTCTTATCCCAGAAAGTCACTGAGCTGGCTTTATATTGTGTGGCTCATGTCCTGCCCCACCTCCACCTTCCTAACATGGTACAGGCAGTCAGCACCCGTGGAGACAAACCTTTGTCCCAAGTGTCCCCTAACATACTTCATCCTTGGAACTCACATGGAGGCACCCCCCCCCTCATATTCACCTCCACCCACAGCTTTTCCGGTTGAGAAACAGATAAGGAAATTCCCCCAGCAAACGTTCTCAAAGACTGTTCCCATAGAGAACAGATTTCCTGGGATTGAATATTCTAATTAAAAAAGGAAGGGGGGGGCGGAAGCATGTGTAAGTTAGGGCCTGAAATTCCTCAGTGGCCAGAAATCTCAGTCCTTACTCTGTGGTCAAGGGCTGCTCTGTTCCACACAGTTGTCTCCCACATGCAGCCAAGAATCCAGGAGAGCTAGGCACTGTTGGCTTTGGGTGTCCAGAAACCCAAGGAAGTCAATCAACAGGCTGGGTTTCTATGGTTTCTAGCCTTCACTTGTTCTTCCTTCTAAATCCATCTGCCCCTCTCTCATTACCCTGTAAAAAGAGTTCACTGTCCCCCACCCCATCAGTGGACACACAGGGAGGGTCCCTCTTCAGAAATCTCCAATTCGGATTCCTTCCATCCGCCTGAGATGAAAGGGGACAACAGAATCCCTCACCACTGCAATTCCACAGGTCATTAACTGGGCATCTGCAAGCTCCCAGTTTCTCAGAGCTGATGCAGAGGACATCAGAGAGATGACCCAGGCTACCTCCTCAGGTGACAGATAGTGAAAGCCAAGCCCCTAGAGGAAACCCAGGGAACCAGAGGCACTGAAACTCGTAACAGAGGGAGCTAGTGAAAGACCTGGAGGAGTCCTTGGTCTAACTCCCACCGCTGTGAGATTCATGAAGAGACCCTTCTGTCTGTTCCCATCCCTTATAAAAATAAAACTCTCACCTCATTCTCTCCCAGCAGGCATGAGACAGCCACTGCTCTAGCACATCAGAGCTGGACAGTCCCCCAGATGTGCTATATAAAAACTTCATGAGATAGCTTTGTGCAAACTGAGGCTCTAGGGCATTATGGGTTTTGATTTGATTTTTTTGTGTGTGTGCTGGGGACTGTACTTACTAGGCAAACACTCTACCATTGAGCTAAATCTTCAACCCCCTTTCTGTGAGTCTCAGCCACTTTGTTTAGGGGAGGCAGAGTCACTGGAAAAGGGAAAGAATATAGATGCACGTGGCTCTGCCATTCATAGCTGAGATTAGCCTGCACAGACACTCCTGTCAGGGCCTTGGTTTCTTCATTCCATACAATGAAGATAACAATACCTACTTCTTTGACTATTGTAAGATTAAATGTGATACCATAGCGATTGCTATTGTTACTGTTTATCCTTAAGAGAGATACTGGATACTCTCCATTAAAGCGTTTAAAAATGGTACTCGATTGCTATTGTTACTGTTTATCCTTAAGAGAGATACTGGATACTCTCCATCCTCCCGTTTTTTCCTTATTGAGGAAGTCATTTTAGATGTCTAACCTCAAACCATTCTGCTGCATTTGAAGCCTGCTCTCTCCTGCTGGAGTATCCTAAGAACCTAACTGGCTGGGAGTGATTTCCTGCCTTCTGAGCACTCATAAGGACTGGGCAGAGGAAATGGAATCTTCCAGAGAGCCCAGGCCCTTGGAGAAAGGACCCAGGAGGCTGTGAATCACCTCCACCCTGCCCTTAGGCCCTGCCTCTTGTTAAGAGAGGGCCTGGGCCTCTGGAGGAGTGTGGAGGTGGGGAGGAAGGGGCTGGCAGGGAGGCCTTCTCCTTCCGTGATGCCCGCTGAGGGCCCCTGTGTCCTGGGTTCCATGACATGGCAGGAAGTGTTTGCAGCCCCTGGTTCCCCCAGGAGTGGTTTGCTGCATGCCTTGGACCCTTCAGGCCTGCTTCCCATCTGGTGCCGTCATCATCATCATCGGAATCAGGTGTCCTGGGTCGGCTGCAGGGAGGGACTGGGAGCAGAGAGGGACATTCTGTCCCCGAAGAATAGATGCCAGGCCTCTATTCTCCCAAACAGGTCCCCTGAGGCCATCTACTATGTTGCTAAGCCACAGCAAGGAGGCAGGGCTCCTGGGTCCCCCGGCCTTTCCCTGATGTGGTCTTTACACAGCTGTCTCTCCACAGCTCCTGTCCCTTTGCCCCCACCCACTGGGCTATGGGATAAATTATTAATAAAAATGCTGAGGAAGCTGTTTGTGCATGCCTGTGACAGAACAAACACATCTCTCTGCCTCACCCATGTGGCAACAGTCTCAGGCTGAGCGTTGGCCTGATCCAGGAGTAACAGGCTGAAACCAGCTAGCAGGGCCACAAACACTGCAGATGTGCCAGGCCAGCAGCAAGCATATGCCCTGTCACCCTCTCCCCGAAGCTGCTCCCCAGCCTGCTCCTTCCTCCTCTGCAAAGGGCCAGAGTCTGGAGTGGGTAAAGCATAGAATTAACAGATGTCAGACAGGTGTGGTGGTGCTTACCTGTAAACCTAGCACTTGGGAGGTGGAGGCAGGAAGATCAGGAATTCAAGGCCAGCCTGAGCTACAAGAGATCCTTTTTCAAAACAACAACAAACAGATGCCCTCATCTTGAAGGGATAGAGCAGCAAGGGCCTAAAAGGCAACAGCAGCCATCCATGCCCAACTTATTAAGGAGGTGACATGGATACTTGTTGATTAATTGCCTATCCCGGGCCTAGCCCTGTGACACTTCTGTTTTGGAGGCCTAGTCCTAAAGACACAGGGTCTAGACCACAACATCAAGAGCATAATCCTAGGTCTGAGCTCTGCTTCTGCCTCTGTTTCTCTAGTTTCTCTAGCAGTTAGCTACTGGCCGCTTATTTGACATCCCTGGGCCTCAGTTTCCTCATCTGTATAGCAGGGCTAATAACTGTACCTCAGAAATGTGAATAGATATGGAGGCTATGGCAAGGTGTCTTTCTTGGCTCTCTTGGGGTGACCCCAAAGCACCAAGGACTCTGACCCAGGCTGATCTTTCCACAGTCACAAGGCCTCAAGGGACTTCCAGGCTCTGTTACAGGGCGGGAAGCATTCTCTTGCCAGAAACCCCACCCTCATACCTCCTGTCCTCTTCTGTGACTCTCTGTAACCTCCCCATCTTGATTCTCTGACTCTCTTTTCTCTCCCTCTCTCTTTTTAAACTTTTTTATATTTACTTATTATGTGGGTGTGTTTGTATGTGTGTGTGGGGTGCACATTCCATGACACACTTGTGGAGATCAGAGAACAACTTGTGGGAGTCAGTTCTTCTCCTTCCACTCTGGGTTTCAGGGATCAAACCTAGGTGGTTAGGTCTGGCAGCAGGCACAATTATCTGCTAAGCTATCTGGTGCCCTGTCTCTCTTTTCTCCATGGTCCCCCAACACTCACTTGTGCTTTGTTCAGCTCTTCTAGCATCTCACTCCTCCCAAAGCTGAAAGCAGGTACCTCTCTTCTTGCCAATCCCACTAGGAATAGCTGCAGCCTCAATCTGAAGCTTGGTCTCAGGCCTTCAGCTCTTCAGGCCCCCGAGACTGTCTGAGGCCCCTTGGAGCTCCTCAGCCAAGCTCAGGGAGCTGGGGTAAGACCCTCAATTCTTCTGAGGCTCAGGTTACCAT